CCTCTTTTCACGTTTTCGGGGAAAAACGCCTCCATATGTGTTCAAGAAAAAACGGTTCCGTGAAATATTCCGTGTTTTCTCGGTCGATAAGAACCACCCTAGCCGGAAGGTGTGTCCTCCCTCGCTCCAGAGTCTCCATGGAGCAGGAAAAGCGACCCACCCCCCAATCCATTGAGATCTTTAAGAAGATCTTGAAGGTGGCGGCAGCCGGAGGAACGGAAGAAGATGCGTCCAACACCCACAACTTTTCGTTCGACGAGTCGCGATTTGATACGCTTGCTTGGTCTTGTCACAAGATTATATGGGATGACCCGATACGATGGGGACACGGCGATATAGTCCATCTAGGTGTCGAATACAGTCTACAGTATATGTCGAGTGCTGAGACCTATACACTGTCTACATACTACATGTACATCGCCTAATCGCCAAATATCGTATCCGCGGGCGGTTTCAAGCAAAGAGCAACTGACGAAAAGGTAGATACCTGGGGTACGCCGTAGTCGTAGAACTATTACTGCTGGTACTGCGTAGAATCCTGTGTTTCTCCGCCTTCGTTTGCTCGACGGTGTTGGTTTAGCAGACGACGCCAGAACATGCCCTTTGCAAAGTCCTGTAGACTCTAATCTGCGGATAGCGATGGATTCGTCATGTTGTACGTAAGTAGGAACACCAAGAGAGTCGGCACCGTCCGCTGCTGGAAAGAGCCAAAGCTGGGACAACGATGGCACCGCCGATGCAAGAGTCAGCCTGTACCACACAACCGCCTATCTATACGTTATCTCGCAAGAGTCAGCCTTAACCGCAACAGACTAGAATATACGTTAACTCGCTCGCGAGAGTCAGCCTGGACCGCACGCGACTAGTCTATAGGTTAACTCGCAAGAGTCAGCCCGAACCGCAACCGACGCGCGACAGACGCGCCGCCTTTGGGTCGCCCGCACCAGCACACAACTCCATCTGCTCTCCCTTCTCTCTTGACTATTGCTCTGCAACAGCACAGAAAGGACAAGACAACAACGACATTTAACATGACGTTCTTGAAAATCTTGGACATGGTTGTCCCGACTCCGTCCGCGTTGGTGCGGATGACGATCCTAGTCGTCATCCTCCAGGTGACGATCGCCTGGGGTATCATGACGAAGACCGTTTTCACCGAGGGCACCCCGGTCACGATGGCGGTCAGCGAACAGTCGTCGTCCACCGGCATCAGCACCAGGTCAGTCAGAGAAACGTTTGGCTGTGCAAGCGCACACCACGCGCGACCGTGTCCTAGGACGCGGCCTTGGTAGCGTGTTAAGTCGGCGCATCAAAGTCATTCGCCCCTCACTTTATTCAGTAAAGCACCGGTCACGAAAAATTGTTTTTCGGTTTGTGTTTAATGTACAACAATCACTGACTGTGCCGTGATAGCTGTGGCGTCCATTGATCGGTGGCTAATTTAGACATACAACAGGCACGTGCGGTGACTCACTGAGCTGCCGCGCCTTGAGACTCTACCCCTGCGCGGGGCTCATGGCTCGGACCGTGTGCATCCTACAGCCGTCACTGGTTGATTCGACATTCGTTCACGTTTCCGGTGCAATTTCAGCTAATCTTGAGCGAACGATCAACGCGATAGCTGACCTGTACATCATACGATAGACGAGAGTCACCGAGTGATAATTGTACTCTGTAGTACTGTAGTGGTGTGACATCACTCAACATTCGTTGCATCGTCAGAGCAGCGCGCATTGCTTCGCGTCGTCTGGAGCATCTCGTGTCGGATGCAGCCAGCCGTTGATGATCAAACCACCTGTGTCTTCTCAGGCCGTTTCTGCTATATGTCGCTACATGGACGAACAGGGAGTTCCCCTGGGCGTCCATCATCTGGACGCTGATCGCGTTGATTTTGTCCGCGTTCTCGGGCAGGGATATCGTTATCGATGTCATGGTGAGGCCAGGCTTCGTGAGGGGGGGAATTGACGATAATTCCTGTTCATGTTCGTTTTTTTCCCATCCTACGTCGATTAACGAGTCGTGCAGTAGCGTGTGGTGCAGTTCACCCAAACCACGCGCCTCGTTTGATCTGTCCTCCTGAGACAGAAAGAACCGCCCGAAAGGCTGGCGGTCTGGTATCAAATCTCCTTCGGTGCCCGATATGCTGTTAACAGATAAGCGCTTTCTGTCTTGAAAGAACAGAGGGTGCTGTGTTGCAAGCTACGTCTGGCGAGAACCTGTCCCAGGATTGCATGGAACCTGGTTTGATAGTNAAATATGCTGTTAACAGATAAGCGTTTTCTGTCTTGAAAGAACAGAGGGTGCTATGTTGGAAGCTACGTCTGGCGAGAACCTGCCCCAGGATTGCATGGAACCTGGTTTGATAGTCTCCCCAAGAGAGAGGGTTCGACCGCAGCTAACCTTTCACTGCTGTGTCCACCTCACCGCACCGCTGCCGCCGCATGGCATGTCAACCCTCCACAGGCCTTGATGTTCACCACGATGCCCTACGATTCATTCGTCAAGACCCTTGGGTTCGTCCTCTTCATTCTCCTTCACGTGAGATGGATGTGTATTTGACGCGTACGGCGGTATACCAGGTATATGGAAGAGCTGCACGGTATGTCTGCAGTAACACGTCACCGTAGTGTGTGGGCAGTGTGTGCCGATGGAACATTCGGCGTGAGAACGAGGTGACGCTTTGCTTCTGTCTGCTCCGCTGAAAGCGTAGCTGCAAATAGGACTGAATCCCATCAATGACAGGTCAGCCTCCCCACGCCCGGCAGAGGCGTACTCACGCAAAGCTCGATGCAACGGGCAGCACCCATCGCCTGAAATCTCGTGCCGCGCATGCCATGTGAAAGAAGAACGAGCGCCATTGCTAACCTCCCTCTCTGCTCCTGTACTGCATATTCTGTTTGCTTTCACGATTCGTTTGTACCCTAGGCTCACTTCTATGGATTGTCCGAGCGTTGCCTGCGCACTGCCGTACAATTAGCCAAGACAAGGCAAGTTATGATGTCCGCGAAGCACAAGGCGCAGCTCAAGGCGCTCAAGAAGAAGCTCCAGGTCAAGTGCCGAATGGTGGAACTGGCGTTCGTTTTGGACGTCCAATCGACGTAAGTAAAAACGGACAAAGATCAACGCATAGACATGACTACATACTTTGAGTTAGTTGTGCAGTGTTACATGCCGGTCCAGGCTGGGTGTTATCTGGGGAGAAAACATTGACAGGCGGACGTCACGGGGGATGAAGATGTTTCGTGTGACAAGGTGTGTTCGTGTACTTGCCAAGCACAAGTCTCTCCCACCCACAGTACGCCAAGGGGCGTTCACTCGCAACAAGAGACGTTTGTGTGGATGTTGTGTACATGTGTCAGGATCGGTCACATTCCCATCCGTACCGGCGGCGTGAAATGAGAGCTAAACTCAGGGCCCTTTAAGAACGGTACCAGCTAGAGCGTCATTCGAACGAAGTTGAGCTCAACACTGCTGTGATTTGAGGTAGGACCAGCTACCGCTCTTGTCTCAACTGCCTCAAATGATTTTTTCGTAAACCTCCTCCCCCTCCTCCTCCTCCTCCTCCTCCTGCTGCTGCTGCCGCTGCATCTCCTTTGTGTGCGTTTCAGTAACCTTCAAGCCCCGTACCGACAAACGATTAAGCCGCAAGACAAGCAGGTGAGGACACCCCCCGATCACACCCCTGTCGGTGTTGTGGTGAGCATCCTCCGGCCCTTTTCGTGAGTCTCTTGGCAGCCGTAAAGTCCTATCATTTCGTTCAACTCACCATGACTGGGCGGCCGCCGTTAGATAAAGAACTTTGATTACAGACCCCCACATACCGTGCTACCTCCTCCATATGCGCCATGTGCACGACCGGCTACGAATATATATATCCCGTGCGCAGGAGAACGGGGATGACAATTTGCTGCTCTCTTACAGTAGCTACGTGGTTTTGCAGTTTTGAATTCGATGATGAAACCGATCTGAAATAAGTGCCCTCCTCCTCCCTCCCTCGCCCCCCCTCCTTTGGTCTTATCACGTCTCCTGTCTTCCACTTTCTTCGCGAACGCCACGGTCTTGCAGCTGTTCACTCTCCACCTCCAGTTCAGCGACCTTCAGCGGTCGATCGCCGCGACCGTGAGGGATTTTTCGCACTACATGTGGTGCGCTGAAAGAAGCATCGACTCGCTTGCCGGCGCCAATGCCCTGCTCGAGAACAGACTTGCTTGCTTGGAGGCAGATGTGAGTGAACTATTGGTTGTGGGGTGTGTGTGTTTTGTGTGTGCGTGCCAGTTTCGGACGTCTAGAGTCTCCAGACGTTTGTCATGTGAGAGGGAAGACCGACTCAATGGAAGCTATACCCTTGACGATGCCCTCCTTCCCGATTCGAAACGCACCAAAGCAAACGTTGCGAAGCAATCCTCGAACGGTGGATTCCGGGCGAGACCATTGCTCAGCCCACCCACAACCGCAATCGATCGCACCCCCCCCCCGTGTTTGTGCTGTAGCCACTCAAGGAGTACGCCTACCACACTTGACGCTTGCTTTGTGAAAGGGCATACGGAATCAGGCTGTGCGGGTGCCACGTGCATTGTATCTACCCACTAATACGGTGTTTCCGCTACATCGCTGGCTCGACGCTCGTGACCACAGGCGCAGACTGGCCACGACCTCTATGACCAGTTTCGATCCGACTTCCTCTGCTCTCTTCGGGACGGAGAGACGACGCTCAGCCACANGTTCAGGCTGTGCGGGTGGCACGTGCATTGTATCTACTCACTAATACGGTGTTTCCGCTACATCACTGGCTCGACGCTCGTGACCACAGGCGCAGACTGGCCACGACCTCTATGGACAGTTTCTATCCGACTTCCTCTGCTCTCTTCGGGACGGAGAGACGACGCTCAGCCACAAGGATGCGGAGATATCCTCTCTGAAGCAGGTGGGTCATGCAGTGGGTTTGACGGGATGAGAACAGAAGGGAAACCGCTGCTGCTGCTGCTAACTGTATGCGCACTGAGTGCACCATTCACGAGAATTCCTGTTAGGTTTCTCCTTTTGACGCCGTTGCAATCCTACCACGGTTCTATACGGTGAGGTCGATGGGGTAGAAACCATTCAACGCACATTTAGAACGACGCACTGTTCACGCTCTACCCAACAAAACAGTGCTCTCTATCGTGAACAACGCTTCAGGTACCCACATCGAGGGCCAAACCTAAGGTAGACCAAGATGAGTGTGAAGCCGTAGTAGCTGTGACAGCATGTATGTAATGATACCACCACTACGCTTCCTCCGCCCCCTTGCGCTCTGTGCTGTGGGCAAATGATGACAGGACAACGCTCAGCTCGTCAAGGTCAATCAAGACAAGGACGAGGAGATCAAGCTCCTGAAGGCTCAGCTGGCTATACAGTTCAAGCAGCCTGAGGAAGGTCAGCACACATGTGAACGTGTTGCCGATGTGGTGCACGATTGTCGGGGGACACACACACATCGTGTGCAGAGATCGCCCATACTCACGCCCGCGGATACCCCTTGAGCGNATGATACCACCACCACCGCTTCCTCCGCCCCCTTGCGCTCTGTGCTGTGGGCAAATGATGACAGGACAACGCTCAGCTCGTCAAGGTCAATCAAGACAAGGACGAGGAGATCAAGCTCCTGAAGGCTCAGCTGGCTATACAGTTCAAGCAGCCTGAGGAAGGTCAGCACACATNGCAAGGGCGAGGAGCTCCTGAAGGCTCAGCTGGCTATGCGGCTCAAGCAGCCTCAGGAAGGTCAGCATACATGATAACGTGTTTCCGATGTGGTGTACGCTAATCGGGACACTCACACACATCGTGTGAAGACATCGCCTATACTCACGCCGGTGGATACCCTTTGAGCGTTTGCTTTGAGCAAGGCTTTCGACGGACGATCGTCGTACATATGCATATGTGGGCATCACAACCTCAGCCGAAACGATGACTCGCGAGACGTCAACTATTTGGTGGAAGGGTGTGCTTGCCAATTAGGTTGGTCGTCACCGTCTTCATCGGATGGGAATGGTCATGTTGCAGCTCGTCCTCTACCAGTCTGTGTTTACTTCCTACTCGCACGGTACATGGCAGACCACGACTTCAGGAATCAGTCAAACACTCAACAACCTCGGTGCATGGTTTTTGTACCGTCAGTGTTTCCCCTATACAGATGGCGCCCGCACTTAAGAACCTCTACTTTCGGCCGAGGCTGGGGTTCTTAACCGAGCTCACAAATGGTGCTCAAGTTCTTAGCTGCTGATTTTTTGCGAGTCTCAATTTCTCAACTGCTAAGTTCTTAAGTGCGGGCGATATCTGTAGTCTCGCGAGGAAAGCGGATGTTGAAATGCTGAAAGACGGGTGTTCGAGTGGATGCGTCTCATGCCCTCTCCCAACAAAATGTCATGCTAGAAACCAAGCAATGCACAAACCCGGTCGCGAGCGGTGTCAAGAGCGCAACACTCCTCCTGTGTGTCTCACACAACGCGGGCGTACCAACACAACGTTCTGTGTGCTCTCTTGTTGCGTTATTTAATTTTGCAGGCGAAGCCAACGCCCACACCGACGTCTCCACCGAGCTGCCCAGCCCCAGGTACGATACGAAAACGGCATGATGGTTGCTCGGTAGACTTGCCAGCAAACGGTTTCGGCCGTTTGTTTTCTGTTTCAAGTCTCCTTTGTCGGTGGGTGCTTAACGACTGTGGTGACGTTGTTTTGGCTATGCGTGCAGGGGGTTGATCGGTACCAGGTATCACTGACGACTNGGTGTCAAGAGCGCAACACTCCTCCTGTGTGTCTCACACAACGCGGGCGTACCAACACAACGTTCTGTGTGCTCTCTTGTTGCGTTATTTAATTTTGCAGGCGAAGCCAACGCCCACACCGACGTCTCCACCGAGCTGCCCAGCCCCAGGTACGATACGAAAACGGCATGATGGTTGCTCGGTAGACTTGCCAGCAAACGGTTTCGGCCGTTTGTTTTCTGTTTCAAGTCTCCTTTGTCGGTGGGTGCTTAACGACTGTGGTGACGTTGTTTTGGCTATGCGTGCAGGGGGTTGATCGGTACCAGGTATCACTGACGACTTCATACAAGGTGTGCTCTGCGATGCTTAGTTGACGGGATAATTTTCTTGCAAGCTGCGGGTAGTATACTTCGCAACACCATTCCCAGTAGGATATCTTCTACCTTCAAGCAATCTAGGGGGAAGTCGGGGGCGAAGCGATGCACAACCGACTTCTTCAAGCACTTTGTTGGCGTATTTTGGCCATTCCATCCCACCAGACGCGGTTAAAGGGATATATGCATACAGCAAGCAACAAAACCGGCCAGCTTACTTTGTTTATCCACCGGTTTTATGATCATCCAACTTGCATATTTCCTCCCTCTTTTGTGGTGGTGCTTCCCTCCCGCGCCCGCCGACTCTGTCCTATCGAACAAACAGCTTGCAAAGCAGGTGGGGAAGCGCCGAGAACGTCCCGGGTGTCTCGAGTTTCCAGACCAACAATAACCACTCTGTCTTTACCGATTCGTCTGCCGCTACGATCGCCACCGCCGCTTCGGGGACCTTCGTCTCCAAGGCCACCCGTTCGGGCACCAGTCGGTCGCCACAACGACCTACCTGGACACCGCCGCCGATGACAAGGCGGCGGCGGAGTTCCTGATTGGGGACACCGCGCTCGCACACTGGTGGCTGGCGAAGACAGATACCTCGGCTGGGTGAGGGTGTAGCACGCGTTTTTCGTCCCACATGTCTTATGTGCCAGCGACAAACTCTGCTGTTGGTGTTGCACTTGGCGTTGCCGTGCTGTTGCTGTTGGGCGTACGATAGGGAGTGTGGTGCCTGTAACAACATCGAAAGTCACCGGTGTAACGAGCGCTGCATGTTTATTCATTCTCCCTGTTGGGATTTGTATGCAAGAACTGACTCTATTCTACTGCATGGGTTT